TTATTTCTATTACTGTATGTCCCATGTTGCTTTTTCCTTAACAGGTCCATGGCAACTAATATAATAGGAAGAGCTTGTCACCTCCAGCCTACTGGATGATGAGCTATGTGTCACAAACCCTTGTCCAGAAGAGCAAGTCTCAGAAAACTCTACATTAGAGGCAGGAAGGAAGCAGATTGGCCTTTTCATAGGGCAGAGGCAGTGAGTCATGAGTTCCTGCATGGCAGGGGGTTGGACTGGATGGCCCTTGTGGTCTCTTCTAATGATTCTATGATTCCATGTCCCACATTACATTTCAATACTCTTACCACCATTCATATGGTCATCTACCTCTGGCCATCATTTGCCTTAGGCAACATCCTTCCTCCTGAATTGTCCCCCAACAACCATAATTAAAATTGACTTGCCAACTCATTTCCATAACTTCACATTTTGTATTTCTACCCTCACACACAACCTGCTTATATAGGCCAGTAGTCCCTGGATCATCCACTCCACTGCATCTGATGAAGTAGACTCAAGTCTCCAAAAGCTCATGCTACCAGCTTCTTTCTTTCAGTTTGTCTCAAAGGTTCTACAAGTTCTCTTTGCATATGGAAGAATGGAGAATGGAATAAATGCAGTAACATTTAAGAAGAATGCCAACAACCTAAGAATGAGTTGGCCTTCAGTGCTGGCTGTTCGGATTTATTCATAGCCAGAGGGATTTTTAAAAAGACATATTTTAAAAAGCGAGGCAACTATAATGCTAGCTTTTCTGAAACCCACGAGTAACAGGAATGTTTTCAAAATAATAATAATGCAAAAAATAGTTCAATAGTGTAATAGCTTGGCTCAGAAGGTGACAGACTCCCCTTCACTGGAAATATTTTAACAAGATTAGATAACTATCTCTGTAGAGAGGATTCGTGCATGGCAGGTTGCTGGATCAGATATCTCTTGGGATCCCTTCCAAACTATAATTATAAATTAGAACTATGTTCTGTTTAAAAATATTGGAAATTAACACTGAAGCACATGTTCTTATACAGGAAAGGGGGATTGAAACTCCAGCATTTATTTGTGGTGGGTAGTGGGTAGAATTTGGTGTGGTATTAATTGCCTTCTTTCAGGCACCCACAGCAACCTCCACAAGAAAGGCATTTTGCTACTCACTGACAATGATGGTCAATAGCAATCACATTCAGTAACATGGGAATTATAAGGACTTTGGTTTGTACATCTAAATCTTGTTTCTGAATAATCAGTTGGAATTTTCCTTTTTGGTCTGAGAAACATATTCATTAGCATTCATTGAGAATTTCACATCTATATTATATATTGACTTTCTGATGCATTAATTCTGTTTTCTCCTAATGTTTTGACTTTTTTTTTTTTACAGAACAGACATTTAAAACAGTGTCAGTGTGTGACCATGCATCATTAAATTGCAAGCCAAGGGAATGCACCAGTTTAGGTTTATTAAAAAAACACAACAACCTAAGAATGAGTTGGCCTTCAATGTTGGCTGTTTGGATTTATTCATAGCCAGAGGGATTTTTAAAAAGACATCTTTTAAAAAGTGAGGCAACTATAATGCTAGCTTTTCTGAAACCCATGAGTAACAGGAATGTTTTCAAAATAATAATAATGCAGAAAAAAAAAGAAGAAGACTGCAAAGTATTTGGTTTTAAGCTTTTTGAATAGAAGATTTTGAAAGAGAGTTTGGAGCAGAGTTTGCTGCTATAGCAGAAATGTGGAAGAAAAGTGGTTGCTGAATTGATATAATTCCATTTTATCAATAGCTTCAAGATGCAAATGCACAGTTTAAAAGAATACAGAACCGGAGGTTGAGGCACCCTGATATTTATTTCATTTTGACTGTTATATATAAATGTAAATTTCTATTTCTCATTTTAATAGCCAGTGTGGTGTAGTGGTTTGAGTGTTGGACTATGACTCTAGAGACCATGGTTTGAATCCCTGTTCAGCCATGGATACCTACTAGTTTACCCTGGGCAAGTTATGCTCTCTCAAATCTCAGAGGAAGGCAAGAGTAAACACTTTCTAAACAAATTCTGCCAACAAATGGACATGATAGGTTTACCTTAGGGTCATCATACAGTGGAAATGTGTAATGTATAATACAACCATAACCTTTACACAAGGCATTCTTCTCTCCACCTCACCAGGAACACCTTCTCATTTCCCACCTTTTCTCACCCACCTGGTCAAATCCTAACTTCTAGTCAGTGGGGTTGCTCCACGACTTGGGTATCACTGGTGTTGAGGACCTGATACCCTCCCCTGGTCTCCCTACCATTTAACTCATCCTTTGCTTCTTTGGCATCTGGTTGTTCTCTCCGTCCAGTGGCCTCCACCCCTCCAGTCTCACTTTCTTCTGACTCCCCATCTCTTTCTATCTCTCCACCTGTCTAGGCTATAGGCTCTTGCCACCCTTTCTTCAGACTGGGTGTTTGTGCTCTTCTAGGCATCAATGTCTTTACACCCCACCACTTGCTTTCTTGGTGTTTACCTCCTTGCTCCATCCTTCAGCTTGCCTTCTCTCCTGGTTTGCCTGTCCCTGGTATTCCTCTGGATCCTTTCCCTTCCAACTCCAGGCTCCATGCACTCTCTCTTTCTCTCCACCTTCTGTTGCCCCTTCCACATCCCTTCCCATGCTCCCTTTTCCTTATCACCACCACCTTGGCCCCTTCCACCCTCTTCTCTCATCATGGTCATGCTCCTTGGCATCCATCTGCCTTTCCATCATCCTGGTACATTACAAGTATGTGGGCTGATGACAGTGGATACCCCACCACACCCTGCTACAACATCCATCAGAAAATATCTAACAGAGCTTGGATTCTACATATAATAAAACTTTGAAATGACTTTATACATATAATGTGTTATTTTAGCTCCTTATCCCAGGAATTAATATATTAACTGCATGAAATGATGATGTAACATTGTTTGTTTTATATTGTTTATATGCTGCCTTCCAGAGTGGTACCCAAGCTAGCTCACAAAAGAAATAAATTAAAACCCAACAATATAATTTTAAAACAAAATTTAAGAGAGTATAAAATTATTTTAAAGCAGCAAAAGTTTAAGCAAATTATTAATAACTGCAATCCCTTGTCTTATGTCCTTTACTTCTTACTTGCTTTTTAAGTTATGGGGTGTGGCTTTGTTCAATGATATGTGTGTACCTTCAAGACACATATCAACATTAATTTTAAAGAGTTTTCTTAGTCAAGGGATATACATAGGTGGTTTGCCAGTTCCCTCCTGAGATGATAGGGAAGGAATATCTCATGGTTCAGTGGCTGTCTCATGCTGTGCTTTGTGCTCTGTTGTAGATGTTGATATGTTGCTCTGGTGGATGGAAGGAGAATTTCTACAATTTGCATTCCCCCCCCCCCAGGAGCTCTCAGCAAGGCTGTCATCTTACACTCTTCCACAAAATCTCATTTAACTCTTTCCAATTCTGAGGCTAACTCCTGCTTTTCTTTCCCTAATTGCTCCATCATTTCCTCTTTCTCTCTTTTCAATTGCTCACATTTTTGTTCCAACTTCTGCATCTGCTCCTATACACTTGGGCATTCCTGCTTCCTTGCTTTTAACATCTCAAACAGATCAATACATGTATGCCACAAAGCCCATGCTTCACAAGCATCCTTTTAACTTCCATATAGCTTCCATCCAGCATAGTATTTTGCAAAAGCCTCAACTATAGTAGCTACCTAGTTTCCAGTTTTAAAACATCTTGCTGCCAAAAGACAAGAACATCTCTCTACTATCCACTGCTCTAATTTTGTCTGTATGCTCTCCTGTTTCAGCATGGCATCCATACTGGCAACAAGAGATGGCAACTTTTGATTTTCACTAATCTTCCCCTTAAGATTTCATTTAAACACACAGCAACTTAACTGTATGTGTACACAACTCTTGCTTCTAGAAGTCCCTCTCTCACAGGGGTAACTTTGGGGCTATGCATACGGGGAAAAAAGGGTGATTTGAAAGTGACTGAAAGGTGTGGTCTTTAGATGACGCACACCTAAAAAGCACCCCCTATCTGCCCCTTCCTGTGAAAGGGTGCTCCAAAAAGGAGCCACTTTTTTCCGCTTCTTCCTAAAAAGTGCACACCTTCAGAGGTACATCTGTTGCAGTGATGGAGGGGTGGTGGAAAAAGGGTACCCAAGAGTTAAAATGCCCTTGAAAATGCACAGCACACATGCACCACATTCTGAGACACCCATTGAGAACATACATCCTGTGAAAAAAGCTTCAATTTAAAGCATCCTAATGGCCCAGGTGTAGGTGTACTGCCGCAGGTGCACCTGTATAAGAAACCTAGCCCTAACCCTAATTTTTGAAGAGCGCATGCGCCAGAGTGGGTAAGTGAAACTGTTGCAGCCGCATGTATCCCTGTGAAAGTGATTAAAGGGAAAGTTTCACTTTTAAGCTGGACCCCCACAAACATTCCAGTGCCATTTTCGCAGTGGACCTTTGTAGCTGCGGACCTCCATAGCTGTGCACCTTCGGTGCTCTTCTTCTACAGTGGGCAGAATGGCACAGCCATCCACAAGCAGCGAGTCAAAAAGAGAGAGAGGGACATTGTGGTCCCATGCAGAAACAGCTGACCTCATAGCTGTGTGGTCACAGCCACACATTTTGGAAAAATTGAGGAATTCATTTTTGAATGCCAATACATTTAAGGAGTTGGCAGAAGGCATGAGGGCTAAGGGCCACCAACAACTTGGGAAGAGTGTTGTTGGAAGACCAAAAACCTCAGGGCAGATTACAAGAAGTTTAGGGATCACAAGGCCAAAAGTGGATGGGGCCCCTCTGTTAGGATTTTAATGGGATATAGAGTCAATGATTTTAAAATGTTGAAATGCAATGATGTGTGTCTGTATTTTTACATGCTGTGTAAAAGATGTTCTTTTCTACAAGGCCAGAGCCACATGTTATCAGTACCAGGTGTGAATCTAGTCCAAACAAGTGAAGCCAGCAAGGTTAAGCTTCATGAGAATGAGCTAATGTTTATGTTAAGAAAAATCAACATCATTGTTTTGGGAATTGTAGTCACATGTTCTATTATGGTAATTTAAGGGTTGGACTAGAGACACATCATACATGTTTGACCAATCAGTCTGAAGAGACTACGCCCACGAAGGTGGAGCAAGGTGGGCTGAAACATGTGGATCTCGCAGCCATTTTTTGAATCTGTTCTTCTTTGTCTGTTTTCTGAGATGTAAAGATCTCAGGTAGTTGCATCTAACTTTTCAACTATGTAGTTGGTTAACCTGTTCCAGTTAGCCTTCTAAGGCTAAGTCATTTTTACTATTATTGCTTTTTGGTCTTTTTTGCTGTTTTAAATAAAGAAGCTTTGCAGGAAGTTCCAGATGCCTGTAATGGATTTTCTTTGGTGACTGTGACTAAGTTCCTGATGGAGGTTGAGTCATTCACCAGCATGCCACCCCCCCATCCATGCAATTTTTGTTTTTTTCCATCAAGAACTCCATGCCTTCCTCACCAGGGATGGTAGCATATGGCCCAGCAGAATATGTACCAGCAGTGAAGTTGTGAGGGTCCCAGTTGGCCAGCCAGCCAGAGCAGAACCTGTGGAGGACATCTCTGAGGGAGAATCCACACAGGAGCTTTTGATGCCCTCTCAAGGTAAGATGTGCCAGGGGCCCTGGGGAGGGGTGCAGGGCACAGCACTAGGGTGGGTAGAGGACAGAGGTAATGCCATCGCTTGTCATTTAGATGACCAGGAGGAACACCTTGACTTAGATGAGACATCTTGCAGTCAGAGGGCTATGGACATCTCTGCCATGAGACCACCGTCCTGTGCCTCTACATCTTCCATGAGCAGGCCACCATCTCGTAGTATAGACTGGAGTGCTGTATCTTTCAGACTTAGTAGCCACTGTGACCTGTCCCACAGACAAGTACAGCGGTAAGCGACGATGACAGTGAGGGCGAGGAAAGGGCAGGTCCTGGACAATTCACCCAGGTGATCCATCAAGTCCAGGCTGCACACGGTAAATTCCCTGTTATGACAATAAATGCATTCTGTTGCATGTACGCCTGCACTCAAAAAAAGCATAACAGTTTGTATGGCTTTTGTAACTTTTTTGAGTATGTGCACAGGTTTTCAGAACCCC